CGAAAACTACGCTGACGAGGCTAAGAACGACGGCCGAAAGTCAAAAGATTACGCGTTTTCTTACAAAAAGACCCTCGAACTGTGCGTAAAATAATCCATTGGCCCACAACTTCCGTTTCGATAATTAAGTCTACACGAGCCGACACGTGAAAAAAAATCGGTCCTCTGAAAAGCCAATGCGGGCGGCCAACTCCGCCGTTAATTAATATTGAACTCCATGAATATGTTGTTAGTACGTTAATTACTTCGAACAGCAACGATGAGCCTGATATAATTCCGCAACAACTAAAGCTTGACGTATTAATCTTCCGAAGCGCGGGCTCATAATTACGTCTCATAAATATCTCGCGAGACCTCCGAGCGCGGGGGTGGTGGAGTGGGTGGTGGCCGACGCGGTCAAAGATAAAACTAGAACGTTTACGTATCATTCCCCCGTGGACACGCGGTATTAACTGCACAGCTTTCTCGTTACTTCGTTCTCGTCGAAGCGCACAGCAGGTCCGCCATGTTTGATACAGTGAATTTGATACCCATGGCCGAGTCGCGCGATTCACTCGCTCGCATTTTTTTTTTTTTTTTTTAATACATTTTTCTTATTATCGGATTCGTGCGTGTGACGTGTCGTTGTTTGTTTGTTTGTTTCTTTTTTTTTTCATTTGCAGCCTGTTTTTAATTAAATAAAGACCCGACAATTTGCAGGATATTTGTAAACTTGCACGAGCAAGCAAGTCACAGGAACGTTCTGAAACGTTTGTAATGATTAACAATCAACTTTCGATATTTTTATATTACAAATCTGACACTGAAACGCGCACGACTTTAGTAAACGTGTTCTTCCTTAATTTGGCTGATAATTGATCTAGCCGGCAATTGATGAATCCGACATTTCACATGCATCGAATTAATACACGGACGTGACACAATCATGAATTTCAATGTGATGAATTTCAAATTTTAAGTAAACTTCTGCATTTTAATTTATGACGTTGATTAACAATGACTTTTCAGCAATTCACGCGAAAGATGTCGTATAAATGCGGTGGTGAAACGGGATAGAGGGCGATCCTACGTACAAAAATAAGTACGAGGGGAAAGAACAATATTTTTTTTTCATTTAAATCGGTTCGTTTCGGAGAGAGTTGAATTTGAACATTTATCAGGTGGGTATATTTGAATTCGGCTAGTGAATAATCGATCAAATTCTATGAAAAGAAAGAAGGTTATTTTACGCGCGGAAATAACTGACAAATGTAGATGATAGATTTGTGTAATTGATACGTAATTAGAACATGTTCAGTTAAATTATCAATTTTAATTTTCTTTTCACGAAGACACCTCACTCCGTATTTTTTATTTATTTTCGACAACTCCTGTCCAGCCTCGAATTCATCGAATTCAAGCTCAATCTCCTCGGGAAAAAAGGAATTGCAATTTATATCATCGAAATATTTTTCCATCAGTAAAAAGTCTTGATTGTCATATAAACGTTTAAAAAAAAAAAGATTGCATTTATAGTGTAAAAATATTGCATGTGTAATATTTATTCGTTCTCGTTCGTTACGTTTCATGAATTCTGTGAATATCGCAAGCGTGTTCAAAACATTTGTTCATCATTTTAAACTGTTGCACGTGTTATGGTAGAGAATTATTAGAGATATTACTGTTGTCGTTCGATTGTTAAATGAAAAGATGTTATTCTTTCTGCTCGATATATTTCTGATCATGAAATCACTCACCAGTTACACTTTGTATATTCTCTACAAAACGTAACGTTTTCCACTGGCCTAAGTAAGAATATCATAACGTCTTTAAAAAACAATTACTAGTGCCCACTAATAAAATTTTTACCCACTACAGATGCCGTGGGATTAATGCCAACGCACGACAACGTTTAATTTATTCTACCGTTCACCTATAGATCATATACAGATCTTGCTATGGTTGTTGCAATAAAATGACATAATATATACATAATAAATTATCGTCGAGTTTCCTCGAGCAAAGTGTTGGGCAAACAATTAGTCAACGATAAAGTTTCTCTAACAATCATTAACCGCAACTAACGATTACTCTTCAACTTTAGTTGTCAATCTTAGATAACGATTGAGTGTCTACGTCAGTTATTAGACATCTTCAATATTAATTGCGATTAAGGGTCAAATTTTTACTTTAGTCGTTAACTGTTATTTCAATCGTCGTTTAGACGCCTCGTCAATCATTAAGAGCTGAAATTCTTTTTCATATTGAAATTAACGTTTCCTACGTAAAACATCAACGTAAGTCTGTGAATAACTAATATTGATGAAATAACATTAACACCTGGTCCAACGAAGTCAACCATTGTCGCCTGTTTATTTAAACAAATTTTCCAAGAGTTTAAAATAATTAGACTTCAATTGAATTAACCTCAGCTCAACAGTACATGCAGCCAGGAGTATGTTTTATTTCGATTATCGACGCTTTATTATAATTTAATATAGTTATTGTAATTATCAAAGTATATGTACTTCAATTCAAATGAAATTGTAATCAAACACGACGTAATGACCAACGGCTATCGGCGATTTTACGACGATTAATTTCACCGATAGTAAACGTTAATCAGTCGATGAAACCAAAAATTTCAATCAATTAGTCGTAGGATACCGCGACGTTATGCTACTATGTAGCATTGCTGCCTGTGATCCGGTCATAATCGTTATCATAATGATTTGTGACCACGGACGAGCGCTTCCGTGTCGCCTCTTTTTCTTTTTCTTTTTTTCTTTTTTTTTTCTTTCTTTCTAGCGCTGGAAACTGCATATTTTAGAAGGAAAGAGAAGAAAAAAAAAAAAAACCACGAGCTCGTTACAGCACGTGCGAGCAGGCAGTTCCCATTCCCGTTTTCAAGATGAAAGTGCACCGATTCCGGTACTTTTTCCACCTTTTCTTACTTTCAGTTCGCCGTTTCGCTTCGTCGTACTGTCGGCATGCACTCGCGTACAGGTAACGTAACGTACGTATGTGCATACATACGTCGCGGAGCACGCGTCTCGTGTGCAAGCAAAGGTGAAACACGTTTCGCGCACCGAAAGCATAAACATACTACACGCATGGTATAATTACTTTTACCTGTTGGTCATACCCATGGTCAAGGCCTTATCGAACCACTTTCCCACCGATCCGGTCGCACGGATTGGTGAGAGGGACACTCTTGTTAACAATTTGGATTGAAAAACGTCTCGATTTTCTTTCTCTCTTTTTCAATGCGACATTTCTCAACCCGCGTCACGTGGAAAAATTGAAATACCTGGAAAGAGAGAGAGAGAGAGAGAGAGAGAGAGAGAGAGAGGTTCGTGTTATGTCGCGATCAGGCTGCTTTTTTTCCTAGTTAAGAATTTTCGCGGTGCACGCGTTATTTTTCTGTTTTTTTTTTTTTTTTATTTACGGTCGTTTGCGTGCCGCTTTACGTGAGATTATTCTATTTTTATACAATCCTGGACCAATATATAGCACACTCTAGAAGTTATTAAATTTCTCTGTGTTAAACAAATGATATAAATTCCTTCTTCCATAGTGCTTTTATCAACATGCGCAAGTAACATAAATTGAACTTTTTTTGCGTAATATGTTTCATGTTAATGAACACGTTGAAAAATGTACTCGTTTTAAAGAATTGTCGCATACGTGTTAATTTCTTCGTCAATCGTTTCAATGTGCTTTTTATTATTTAATTTTCCTGATAAATCGACTCGGAAGTTATTTCGTAAATGATATTAATAGTAGCGGAGGCCATCAAATCCGTCTAAATTGTACCGCTTTTCATCGATTCACCAATTTCTTATTCGCATGAACACGCTCCTCTGCAAATTGCAAACGACGCAGCTCATACTATTTAATCAAGACTTTTGTTGCAATTTCCGTCGTTTCAGTTGTTATAATAATTTTTCAAAAGACATTGCCAACATTTCAACTCCACTTCCGCTCTTTCTAAATTTATCTCGCAGTCGAGCTTGAATTTGACGTTGCACGTTATTGTAGCACATTTATCTCGCGGTTATCCACGACTCTTTCTTTTCCCATAATTAATCGAGATCTTTTGGTAAATTCATCATCACTCTACGACTTCTGTTAACTATGTTTCGGCTGTTCTTTTTTCATCACGGAATAATGTTCCTCGTTTAATTTCGATATCGCGTGTATTTCACTCTTTCCTCCGACCCATTTTTACAAATATTAATACGCATTTTAACTGAATTCGCATTTCACACGAATATTACGCTTCCGATAACCTGTGCGATCCTGTCTGCCTCGAGGCTACGGGCAGTATTTGCATTTTCGTTTTTTGTGTAATTCTGAGAAATTGCATTTCTCGATAATAACATTCGACATAATGGGTAATGTATTATGCTCAAGGATGCTAATATTGTCTACGCGTTCCCTTTACATCGCGATACGCGGCATAAGAAAGTACACAGTGTGCTACTGTTCGCCCCGGGGTGTACATTTTGTAATGAAATTTCCGTGCAATCTAATATTTCCTTTTTAATAAAATTTATGCTTGGAAGAGTTAAGATGGAATTCATTGTAAATATCAGACGCATGCTGCTTGGCCAGAACTTACGATTTTCCTGAGAGAATCGGATATTAACATGAATTAATAAATTAAAATCTCGCGTTCTTAATAAATACAAAATTATGCATTTATTTCGCACAAGAATATAGACATTTCACATTTAATACACAGATTGACACACTCTGTCACTTTACGATCAATTTTTGCCACGTCTCGTAAATAAATCACATCTTTATACTACAAAATTAATTACGCACGATCTCTGATACAAAAAAACGATAGGAATCTTCTTGCGGGAAAAGCTCATTGCACTTGAAATCGTGAATCCTATTTTCATCAGCGTGTGTCAGACGAGTTTCAAACACGTTGCGAAATCTCTCGCATCGGCATAAATCTCGATCGACGAATCCGACGATTTCACGCGTTGTCTCTTTTTCTCTTTTAGGGGGAACGGCCGGTTCCGTAGTGGCGTCTAGGCTCAGCGATCTACCGGAATGGAAAGTTCTGCTGCTCGAGGCTGGGCCCGATGAGCCACCTGGTGCCGATATCCCGAGCATGGTCGCCATGTTTCTCGGTAGGCCAATTTTCACTTTACCGTTCACGTAGGAATCAATCGGTCGGCGACGAAGGGAATTAATCTGGTGTTTGGCTCTGATAGGCACGGAGATCGACTGGCAGTATCGCACCGTGAACGAAACGAACGCCTGTCTTTCGACTGGTGGATCGTGCAGCTGGCCGCGAGGTAAGAACCTCGGTGGCACTTCGGTTCACAATGGCATGATGTACACGCGGGGTCACGCCAGAGATTACAACGACTGGGCGGCGATGGGCAACGTGGGATGGTCTTGGCAGGAGGTGAGTCTAGAGAGGGTGATTGGGATCAAAAAGTCACTTGATAAAATTATTAATCATTTGCACTCGACTGTCTCTTCTGGGGAGACGTCGCACTTGAAGCCAGCAGCTTTCTTTTTTTATAATTTGCTGATAATTATAATGAACGTATACATACGATGCGACGTATAATAGTATGATATGTGAACGGTCGCTCACAGTGGAAGCTATAATAACGAGAACGAAATTTCAGAAGACCTGAATCAGTTGACACTCATTGGAATAATTAGACTTAACACATAAACTAGACTTCTTATTGCTTCTTGCGAGAGTTTAAAGGCCAGCAGCTGTTTTTTTTTTATAATTTGCTGATAATTATAATGAACGTATACATACGATGCGACGTATAATAGTATGATATGTGAACGGTCGCTCACAGTGGAAGCTATAATAACGAGAACGAAATTTCAGAAGACCTGAATCAGTTGACACTCATTGGAATAATTAGACTTAACACATAAACTAGACTTCTTATTGCTTCTTGCGAAAGTTTAAAAGCCAGCAGCTTTCTTTTTGTATAATTTGCTGATAATTATAACGAACGTATACATACGATGCGACGTATAATAGTATGATATGTGAACGGTCGCTTACAGTGGAAGCTATAATAACGAGAACGAAATTTCAGAAGACAGTCCTGAATCAGTTGACACTCATTGGAATAATTAGACTTAACACATAAACTAGACTTCTTATTGCTTCTTGCGAGAGTTTAAAGGCCAGCAGCTGTTTTTTTTTTATAATTTGCTGATAATTATAATGAACGTATACATACGATGCGACGTATAATAGTATGATATGTGAACGGTCGCTCACAGTGGAAGTTGTAATAACGAGAACGAAATTTCAGAAGACAGTCCTGAATCAATTGACACTCATTGGAATAATTCACATAAACTAGACTTCTTATTGCTTCTTACGAAAGTTTAAAAAAATGGCGGAGGATGTTATTTTTAGAGATTGAAACCATTTATCATTAACTTTTGTAAAAAGTAAGGTAAGTCTACGACTAGAATAATTATCGAACCTCATCTCAGCAAATCTTGTTTCGAACGTGATTCAAACCTGGCTAAGAAGTAATTTGCAAATTTCTAAAATCAAAAGAAGACACAAGATGTTTGTTATAGTTTGGATATACACTGTGTTCATTCCTGCATATTTTGACATGCGTGTTCATTTTCTACACACTGTCAGTGCGTACCAATTTGTAATCTCTATATGCTACTTTTGGCAAAAAGTTATCGATCAAACGCAAGCACTCGAACGTATTTAAAAACACTGAATTCTTAAAATGTAAAATTTGAGGTACACAGAATCACGCCAAAGAGATATTTCGAATAATTGCGTCCGATCGGAAACCATTCGCCAGGTTGTATCACTAATCTATCCAAACTGCATTCACCTGCGTTAATATCAACGCCTGTATATATATTTTTTAGTCACGTCACAATACAAACACGTTCGTTTCTCAGTGTGTGCACCGACGACGTACGTAGTACACTCACACGTAGAACTCTGTCCAAACCGTTGACCGATAATGCATACGAAACGCGCAAGGTAAACAGATAGTGCACGCAAGTACCTCGGCGTGCTTGTGGAAATGATTGCGAAAATCGTACGTATATATCGCGTGTAGTTAACGAGAGCTATTTACCAATAATCCGTCAGTCTGATTCGCCGATAACGATCTACAGGAAACGTAGCGCGACACACTTTTTCATTTTCTCTCTCTCTCTCTCTCTCTCACTCTCTCTCTGCTCTGCAATAGGTCTTGCCGTATTTCATGTGCTCGGAGAACAACACGGAGATCAATCGCGTTGGACGGAAGTATCACGCAACCGACGGGTTGCTCAACGTCGAGAGGTTCTCTTGGAGGCCCGACATCTCCGAGGACATCCTCGCGGCCGCCGTCGAGAGAGGATACCCGATCACGATGGACCATAACGGCGACCAGATCACAGGGTTCACGGTCGCTCAAACGATGAGCAAGAACGGCGTACGACAAAGCAGCGCGGCCGCTTTCCTACGGCCGTTCCGTTACAGGCGGAACCTTCAGGTCGTTCTAAACGCCACCGCCACGAGAATCATTATCGAGAACGGCAAGGCAGTCGGCGTACAGTATCACAAAGTTGGTGATGTTTCGCTCGTTGTTACATTCGAAACGACAATTAGCAATATTACGTATCGTCGTGATGCTATGTTATCGGGCTTTACCAATCGTTTCCACCACCATCGTTGCTTTTCAATTTTATTAACACTCGCTTCACGAGTAATTGCGCAGCTTAATTCCTGTAACTTTTCCGTTTAATAATCGGTGTTTGATGATCGGCGAAAATTTGGACTTTGCGGACACTCAAACAACACGGGGATAGACGTGAATTTAAATTGCCTCGTGCTTTTTAACTTTTGTTTGCAAAAGCACGGAAAAATAAAAATCTCTATCGACGAAGGTGCGCTCGCAATTTTTTATAATTTTTATCGCGTTTGTAATTATTCGTTCGTTAATACGTTAACACATTTTAACAAGCGTGCGAGCCTTTTTTTATCGTATTCGAACGCAGTCTATTAGTTCCTTGCTCTATTAATTACTTGAATTCTTCGCAATTGTCGAATTAATTATTTCTTGGAATCTATCGATTCTTCGAATTCTTCGCAAACTGAATTTACGCTCTTTCGTGTCATTCATTTTAGTCACCTTTATTTCGATTTTTCATACTGCGTTATCTCTCGAATTTTACATTGTCAACTATCTGTTTAATGATTCAAACTTTTTGATATTCTTCACGGATATTTCCGTTGCACTATTAATTCTCTGAATTCTTTGCAATTGCCGAACTAATTATTTCTTGGAATCTATCAATTCTTTTGAATTCCCCGCAAACTGAATTTACGATACGCGCTCTATCGTGTCATTAATATCAGTCACCTTTATTTCGATTTTTCATACTGCGTTATCTCTCAAATTTTACATTGTCAACGTACGACTATCTGTTTAATGACGCAAACTTTTTGATATTCTTCACGGCTGTTTCCCTTTCACTATTAATTCTCTGAATTCTTTGCAATTGTTGAATTAATTATTTCTTGGAATCTATCAATTCCTTGACTTCCCCGCAAACTGAATTTACGCTTTTTCGTATCATTAATTTCGATCTTTCATACCGCGTTACCTCTCAAATTTTACATTGTTAAAACTGTTGCAATCCGTTTAATGATTATAACGACTCACTGTTATAATCTGTTTAATGATTCAGACTTTTGACGACTATCTTTAAACTGTGATTGCACACTGCGTTGATTTCGATGGTACAATCGTTCCCGAAACTTCAGGTCGAGTAGATTTTTGCAACGCAGTGTGACAAAAAGAAGAAGAAAAATTCGCCCGAGTTAACATCCCAAACGAGGCAACGATTTCATTCAAATCGAAGCGAATGAACGACCGTCCCCTCTAAATCGTTTTCAGGACGGCGTGCTCCGAGAGGCGCGAGCCTCGAAGGAGATAATCGTCTCCGGCGGCGCTGTCAACTCCCCTCAGCTGTTGCTGCTCTCCGGAATCGGGCCGAAGGAGCATTTAGCAGCCGTGAACGTAAGCGTTGTCGAAGATCTTCCAGGTGAGCGATAGTGATTCACGAAACGATGTTTCTTCCCCCTGGCTTCACGAGTGTTTACGATATCGCGCGTCCCACAGGGGTCGGCGAGAATCTACAGAATCACGTGTCGTACACACTGTCCTGGACGATTAATCAGCCGGACGAGTTCGATCTGAATTGGGCGGCAGCGTTGGAGTACGTCGCGTTCCAGAGGGGGATAATGGCGTCAACCGGCCTCTCCCAATTAACCGGAATCCTGTCGTCCCCCTACACCACCGCCGATCATCCTGATCTTCAGTTCTTTTTCGGCGGGTATCAAGCGTCGTGCGCTACCACCGGAGAGATCGGATCTCTCATGGACGACGGCCGTCGTAGCATAAGCATATCGCCGACGAATCTTCGGCCGCGCAGCAGAGGTACATTTTGCAACATCCTCCACGATTCGAACGCTGATTTATACGTACGTTGCCTGCCAAGCTTCACGCAGCAGGTTACGTACTGATTACACTTTGATTATTTGAATAATTTGGTTTTAAGTTCTTTTTCTTTTTTTTTTTTCTACGACATCTGTTACACAACGATGAACGTTGCATCCATTTTTCCTATTAATCGTTCGTATTTGCTAAATATGCACTTATTTTCGTTTCTTGCCTTCGTTTCTTTCGAAAATTTTTATTTTTATTATCTTAGAGTTTCTTTTTTTTTTTTATGAGAAGTGAAGATTTTTATTTGTTTCATTGAAGATTACTATTTTCGTTTTTATTTAATACTATTTATTTTTTACTACTATTTATTTAATACTATTTGATACTATTTTTGTTTTATTTAATTACTATTTCCAGTGCTTTCTGAACATATAGTTCGTTTATTTTATAAATGTCACGCTACAAAAGCCAGCTGGATCGTCTATTTTGGGCACTCCGATAATTTGGCATATGTAAAAACATATATCGTGTTACGTGAAACTTTGAAAATTTAATTTAATGTTTGGGCCGTGCAGAGTGACTTCTGCCGCGAACAAAGGCAGCGAACGTGTTAAAAGTTTACGTATAGTTAGGAGCCGAAGAGACAAAGCAGTCAGAACGTCATAAGGGCCAAGAGGAACGCGCAGTTTATTAGCCTGGTTCAACGTTACCCGCGTAGTTTTCAGCAGTAAAATGTGATACGTGTCATCTCAAGCTAGATGAGAGCTACACCCCGCGTTTAAAGACGCGAATAAAAAGCTTATTTTCCATTATCAAACTATAGCGCCATAGTAGAAACGTGATAACGTGTTCTAAGAGACAATCGATACCACAAACGTAAAAGAAAAAAAAAAAAAAAGAAAAAAAAAAGCGAAAAGAGAAAGATCCGTTTCTCTAAGTCACGAAACTGCAAACTCGATTGAAGCCAATGTCTGTATGTCTGATTGTCATCGATCCAGTTCCCATCAGATCACGATGCAACACTGTACAAGAAGCAAATCTGATCGTCTATTTCAGGAGTCCTCCGCTTGGCTAGCAACGATCCTCTCGCAAAGCCCGTGATCTATGGGAACTATTTGACCGATCCGTTGGACGTTGCCACTCTTGTCGAGGGAATTCAGATAGCCTTGTCCTTCGGTAACACTACCGCCATGGCGAAATATAATATGACGCTGAGCAACCACCCTTTGGAAGCTTGCTCACGGTACCCGTTCCTAAGCAACGATTACTGGAGCTGCGCTGTGCGCCAGGACACCGGCCCGGAGAATCATCAGGCAGGCTCCTGTAAAATGGGTCCATCGTCCGACCCAATGGCTGTTGTGGATCCGCAGCTCAGGGTGCACGGTATCAGAGGGTTGCGGGTCGCCGACACGTCCATCATGCCTCAGGTATTTATCGTTCTCTTCTTCTTTCGGCGAACCTTGCGGCGAGTTTTCCATTTTTGAGAAATACGGGGACATCGCGTTGAAACGAAAGTTGCAACAAAGCAACACGTTGACACGGATCGATTTTCGGTCACGTCAGCAATGCAGTACAATATAAAATAATATATGTAGTAATATATAATATATAGTATTTATTAGTATATGATATATAGCATATATTAGTATATAATATATAATATGTAGTATTTATTATTATATATATTAGTATTTAACATATTAGTACTGTTATGTATATTAGTATTTAATATATTAGTACTGTTATGTATATTAGTATTTAATATATTAGTACTATTATATATATTAGTATTTAATATATTAGTACTATTATATATATATTAGTATTTAATATATTAGTACTATTATATACATTAGTATTTAATATATTAGTGCTATTATATATATTAGTATTTAATATATTAGTACTATTATATATATATTAGTATTTAATATATTAGTACTATTATATATATTAGTATTTAATATGTTAGTACTATTATATATATTAGTATTTAATATATTAGTGCTATTATATATATTAGTATTTAATATATTAGTACTATTATATATATATATATTAGTATTTAATATATTAGTACTATTATATATATTAGTATTTAATATGTTAGTACTATTATATATATATTAGTATTAATATATTAGTACTATTATATATTAGTATTTAATATATTAGTACTATTATACATATTAGTATTAATATATTAGTATTTAATATATAGTATTTACTATTTATTAGTACATGATATATAGTATATATTAGTATATGATACATAGCATTTATTAGTATATAACATATAGCATATATTAGTATATAATATATAGTATCTTATATATAATATAATATATACTAACATATAGTATATAATATATACTAATGTATACTATATATTATATTAATATATATTATATAGTAATATATAAAATAGAACATACGTTCTATTCTATTAGCTTCACAGTCGTAGACACAGTCACAGATATACCGACAGTATTTAGAAACTCGCAACGTTTCAACCCCCCTTGCCTACGTTCGACAAAACAAATTCACCGCAAACCAGTTCGCAGGCGCGTTTACTCCTCGTTTTTCGCCATCCCGCGATCACTTTATCCGTCTGACTGAGTAAATTTTTTCTCCTTTGAACAAAAAAAAGGTGACGTCCGGAAACACGGGCGCTCCGGCGATCATGATCGGCGAAAGGGCGGCGGCGTTCATCAGGTCGGATTGGGGCGCTGGGCCGACACAATGGTACGGGCATCGTCCATCTTCCGTATGGAGCCGAGTGTCATGGAAATCGCATATTAGTCACTAGCAATTTGCCATGTTTCCTAGTTCCCGTTCGACGATCGACAACTCGCTGGATCTGTTGCTTTGGGGGATCAAATACATCGACTGGGACCAGGCGGCCTGGTAGCCTACGATCCTCGATCGATCTAGTCATCGTGATTTAGCGGGTTTCTTTCTATGAAAGGGAAATTACACAGCTTGCTGTCTCAACTCCTGGCGCAACGTCACCAAAGAGACGAGTCCGAAAGAGTGCCTAGCCTTTCTTTTCGTCGTCGTCGCTGCAATCCAGTCGATCGGACACTGTGGAACGAAGAATCGACACGATTACACTCGCTGAATTCGAGTGAACGCGAGTGAACTGTTGTTGTTGTTGTTGTTGTTACTAGGTTGCGAATGCTTATGCGGATTAGAAACATTCGTCTACGTTATTAACCGTTCAGGGACGATGTACTGTAGTAATTTTTGTGCGACTTGTTACCTCGACTTGTTAATTATACGCAATGAAATCAAAATTATATAAATGAATGGAATCAATATATCGTTTGGAACTTTGAAAATTATTAAATCCACTAATTCTTACTATTAATATACAGCGAGTGTAAAAAATATTCGTACAGTGACTAATCACGACTGAAATGCTAAATAATAATGTTTGTTAAACAATATTTTTTAAACAAACATGGTACATCTATTCTACAAAGTCTGTAAAACAACAATATCAAGTAAACAAGAAAAATCATTCATATTTTTTATATAAATATCAAGAAAAACGAACAAAACGACAGAAATGAACGCGTAATAAATATTATAGTACAGTTCTATTGTCATTATCAAGTGTACAAGTAATTTAAACATTTATAATAGAAACAATAAATAATTGTAAAATTAATATTTATAAATTAATAATTTAGTATTTAGTAGGATTTCCCTTTGATTTTATTATTGCAGCTGGCCTTCTAGGTATTGAATTAATCAAATTAGATGTGATTTTATTAGTGATATTATTCCATTCCTTGATTAAAGCATTTTTGAAGTCTTTTTTAGATGAAATTGTATGTTTTCGAATTGATCGTTCCAGATAATCCCACAAATGTTCAATCTGATGATTGCGGGGGTATTTTTTAAATGAGCTGGCATATTGATTAACTAATATTTATTAATATATAAATATTAATTTTACAATTGTTTAAATTACTTGTGCACTTGATAGTGAAGATAGAACTGTGCGAATACTTATTACGCGTTCGTTTCTGTCATTTTGTCCGTTTCTCTATTTGTATAAACAATATGAATATTTCTTTCTTTTCGTTTATTGTTGTTCTACAGACATTGGAGAATAGATGTACCACGTTTTTTTAAAAAACATTGTTTAATAAATATTATTATTCAGCATTTTAGTCGTGATTAATCACTGTACGAATACTTTCTACACCCACTATATATATTTTTAAATGTTCGTATGTTAATCTTTTATATCCTGAGTACCATTTACATCATTTTAGTGTGACAGCTGACAGTTTCTCATGGTACTTAAACGACAGTGTTTAAACGTTCTTAAACCACTGTGAACGATGAACTTGCACAATTTTTTAATTCCTTAATATTCGAATATTATATATATGTATATATCATCAGAATGAAATGTTATAGTTACTAGATACGAGTTCATCTGCTACTAGCAGACATTACATTACGTTCTATTAATGTAACATTCGAATATTAACATGTTCGAAATAAATAAGAGTGCAACTACTGTGCATGAAATTATTGGAAAATTTATGTTTGCGACATGTCAAAAGCCATTCAACGATACGAAAAATTTAACAAAAGTATCGCAGGACACAAAGGGTTTTGATCATGATTAAAGCTACAATAGTCAGAAAGTTTAAAATTCCTGACATCACTCCTGAAGGGTTAAAGAGATTAACTTCCATCTTTGAGATATTACAAACGTGCATTGAGTATATTTTTGAATTTTTAAGCAAATATATAAAAATCCGCAATCTAGTTGTCTTGCTTTAACGTTCTTCGTTCTGTCTCGCGACTTATTCGTTCCTGTCTATCTTTTTTTCCTTTCCGTTGTTACCGTGTCAAGGACGTTTCACACGAGTACATTGAAAGTGACCAACTCGGAGTTTCTTTCCACGCAGTTTTTTTTTTCTTGGCCAATTACGAAAATCTTACTCACTTGCCTGTTTATTAGGTCTACAGATTGATTCGTGGTTCTATCTTTGCGAATTTGTCACTCATTTACAGAAAAGCAAAATACTAATTAATTAATTTTAACATAGGAAATAATCTCTAGTCGATTTTTGAACATGTATCTATCGATCCAGCAACTTTCGAATTCCCTCTATGTAAAAGTAAACGGAGTGAAAAAAAAAAAAAAATGGCAATTTAAAGATTCAATTTTACTAACTAGAATTTCCATTATACTTGTAAGAAAAATTTAATTCTGGCTATTTGTTTCGATTCAAAATTTAAAAACTAATTCTAAGAACTAATACTTTTGTAATATTGAACGAACTGATTAGCAAAGCAGTTAAAACGGAAATTACAGGAAATTTCAATATATGGATACGTAACTTTCAAGTTAGTGTTACACATTAACATAAATTATACATTAACATAATGTCAGACGTTAATGATACTCGTTCTTTTGTTTGTTCTATTTTTTTTTTTTATTTGAAACATTGGCAAAACGAAATCCGAACATGTCGGAGAAAAAATGTAATTAAATATAATTAATTAATCGGACCACGAATTAATTTATTTCTACGATCATTCCTGGATCACAAAACACTTTGTATTGTATTCTAAAAATACAACATAAGTTCTATTACAAGTTTTGTCCCGACTATTATTTGAAATTGTTTCGCTTCTTTGATTAAGAAAATCACTTTGATTCAATTATTAGACCATGGATTCTTGTGCATTCGCGAGAAATTGAAGAATGAAACAGTACAGAGAATCACACAAAATATCCAAAAATATCAACGAATTGAAGTTTCAATTCAAAGAAATCTACGTGTAATAAAGAGAACAATTTATACTTTCAGAGGTGTGCACAATTTAAATATCCACGGTCTATTAATTAGAAGAAAGTTCGAAAGCTGTTTCCAATTCTAGAAAGGATACCTTCCCGAATTGTATCACTTTCGTTGCACGCGACACGGAATTAGTTTAACTAATGAATTTCGCTTGTACGCTTTTATTCGTACGTGTTAACTTTGCACTTTCGAGATTTCATGCTGTTCGGTGTAGACACGTGTAACGTGCTACATTATTCAGAAATAATTCGAAACAGTTTTGGTTACGATCTTTCGCGGTACATGGTTAAGTACGTACGTATTTTTCAAACAATTAACATATAAAACCTTTCCCTTAATCTCCAATTAATCACGCTAAAGCGAAACGTGTGTGTAAAGCAAACGACTCCTTGGGCAGCTACTCGCATAATGCATTACGATTACCTTATTGTACCAACGACGAAATATAAACATATACCAAAGAAATGTAATATCGCTACCGGATTGATACTAAATAGGCTGAATTATAATTCTAGTTTATTTCTCTGCTCTTTGTTTTCTCAACTGCCATAACGCTACCCCTTATTTACCTTTTTAGTATCTTACAGGTGCCTCTCTTCAACCTGATGCTTGCTAAATTCACTTAGCAGCATCGCGATGCTTAAATACAACTTGGAATTTTCTTTGACGTAATATCGAGCGAAGTTGTGATTAAATAATTTTCTATATTGTTGAAACGATTAACTTTTCAATTTTATTTCTGTATCTAGTTTATTGGTTGCAAGGTTTTATTTCTTGACTTGATTCTGCATTAATACAAAATAACGATCAAATGATATTATGTTTAATTATTTGTTCCAAAAATCTTTCACTGTTCTGATGGTTGATGTTCTGGCTATATTTGCCATAACGTTTCTCGAAGATTATTATATTTTTATCATTTTTAATTCAGTTCTATAATTATACCGTTAGTATTCTTATTGTTACTTGCTGCTAAAACTAATTTTGTGATCTATCGATAAAAAATCGACTGTTTTCTGTTCGTACGTAACAATTTCAACGTCGTAATAATCACCTTATAACATATAAATTATCAGCAAAGAAATTATAAACTAAATTTCTACCAAGTGATTCCAAGCTATATTCCTCGGTTACTTTATTTACAAAAAACGATAATTTACGAAGAGACGTCGACCGTGAGAGAAGTATCTAAACGTACAAGAGATTTACCTTTAATTCAATAATAAAAACGAAAGGACCAAATTTTTTTCACAAACGGCGGATAAAATTAACGATGCACGTGTCTTTTTTACATGGGAACGTACGAGCTGGATCTTTCGAAACGCAAAAAGAATGTTGTTTATCTGATATATATTGAAGAACGACGTAAATATGCATAAATGCATAATACGTCATTCAACGTACAGAAAAATTCCACTAACCGAGCATAATTACAAGTTAATCTTACTTAATCACACCTCATAAATATTATTGTAAACTAACTCGTTTCACTGTCAGGCTTATCTGCATCGAGCAATTTTTTTACTTTTCTTTGCATTTTCGTTCGCATGTAAGAAATGAAATTTATTGAACGTTATCATTTAGAACGTTAGAAAATGCGAAGGTCGCATCGTCGAAGCACATAGTGAGTAATGATGATAATTTCGGCATCACCGATTGCCCAGGTACTTACATCGAACCTAATGTACACGAACTTGAGCATCATTTAAATTGAAAACCAATTATTCTTGATCCACGATCAATCTGTTTTCTCGAATCGAATCAAACATTGCTATAATATATAAACATCGTTATAATGCTACAAAGATCCAACGTCACCTTCCAACTATGAAAAAAAAAACATTTAAAAAAATTAACTACTAGCTGATACGTTCTAACTACCGATATTATTGCGTTTCGTAGCAAACAATTTTCGTTTACAATATTTTCAGAAAAGATAATTTCACGACTTCAGTGATATAAGTAAACGACTCGAATTATGTGTAGCCTAGATACGGAGGACTTTACCATGTGATTATTTATTAGCATACTCGTTGCATTTCGCGAAACGACATATATTGATATCATGAATGCGTTTGTCGTGCATATTTGTGAAAGACACGGTATTTTCGAACACAACGTTGTATCGAAATTTCAGGTAGTCACTTTGAGAAGTTTTACCGGCGGTACGTGTGAAATGATGCGAACAGACGATGAGAAATAAGTATAACATGTCGCGAATTTCTCATCTTAAAGCCTGTGGTTCCCGTAGACGAAACGACGACGAATACTAAGTGATTACTGTAATTAGTGTTTGAGATATACAATTGTATTATCGCTTGAACAATAAACCGAACGATCGCATAACATTGGTCATTGTGATTTAAATTCTGTGCAGAGCATATGAAAAAACGTATAAAACGCAGAATTTCTTGGAATTTCTATTTAGAACCTGTTTTCTCAATCGTGTTTGCAAAAAAAAAAAAAAAAAAAAAAAAAAAAAAAAACAGAATCGCATGAAAATAAGATGACTTCCGTTTTCTACCATTGCTTTTCAACGACAGGTGTGCCAATATATATATACAAATAATACGCGATATCTTTATATGCATTATTTCATTAGCAAAATACACGGTAGTGAAAACAAAAAGATAGGGACTGCAACAGTAAACAGTATTACAGGCAAATGAAAACATCGGTAATCAAGACTGTGACACATTAGACTAATATTCGCGAAGCGAAAAAGGAAGATACCAGATGCGACTAGGTTTTTACATAATGAATGTAATAATGATAAAACTCTCGTTAGATAGTGACGTATACGTATTTATCAACGGTCAAGAGATAATGGTAAATATTCAATTTACAAGCGTAATCACATTAACAACAAGTATAAAAGAGAGTAGAAGGTAGCGTTGAACAACCAGTCGGGCAGAACGAGGCTCTCGTTTCAGCACGTTCAGTTTACGGGCAATTCTGTAACTTCTGTCCGCAACCCATCTTTGACACCATGGTACGTTGAACACTGGCTCACGTTCATTCACATTTTCCCGCGAAAGTCGCCGCCGGACAAACAGATTGCTTCAACGCCCCTCCTCTTCCCCTTCTCGTCGGCGTGACGACCGATAGGCAATCGTTGTCCACTGTAATCTCATTGCTGGCAATTGCAGTCAGGTTTGCAATCCCTGGTGCCAGGCCCGCAGTGTGCTGCGCCCTTCCACGGCGGACCTCAGCTCACCGACGTTTGCTCCGCGAGCAACGGAGAACTGTTACTGACGCTTCTCAACGTATTTCTGGTAGCAAGCCCGAAAATCGGCGAACCGTGCCAGCGCGTGAAACCGGTCGAGCACCCGGATCTCATCTACGATTTCATCGTCGTCGGTGGTGAGTTGTTCTTTTTTTTTTTTTCCCCTTTTTTTGAAACGGTTCCGAAGATTGAGGAGATGGAGCATCATTGCTCCACTGGAATGGAATGACTTTTGAACTCCTAACGAACGTTTTGTATTACAACATTCGTAATTTGTTTCCTTTCTGCTAGCAAATTGCAAGATTTATGAGTAGTTTGAACGAAGTATTGTAGAATGAAGATCTATGGTGTAACACGTATATTATACGAATTTTAGAATGTTAGAATATTAAAATATTAGATTAGAATACTAGAATATTAAAATATTTGAATACTAGAATACTAAATTATTAGAATACTAGAACACTAGAATACTAAATTATTAGAATACTAGAATACTAGAATACTAAATTATTAGAATACTAGAATACTAGAATACTAAATTATTAGAATACTAGAATACTAAAATACTAGATTATTAGATTATTAGAATATTAGAATATCAGAATATTAGAATATTACAATATTACAATATTAGAATATCAGAATATTAGAATATTACAATATTACAATATTACAATATTACAATATTAGAATATTACAATATTACAATATTACAATATTACAATATTAGAATATTAGAATATTACAATATTACAATATTACAATATTACAATATTACAATATTACAATATTACAATATTACAATATTACAATATTAGAATATTAGAGTGTTAGAATATCAGAATTTTACTAATCCTTTAGTAGATATTCTTTTATATCTCAACTTGTTGTTACTTCATGCAATACATGGATCTTTACTACTATAGAGAACCACAATGCAGTGGTTGTTGTTCGAATCATTTTCTAGAGGGAATGTTCGAAGAAGAAAGCTGTATTGTACACACCTTTGCATTTCTGTCTAGCTTGTACTTTTTTAAATTAGATATATAATCTACTGATTTATTAGTCAAAAAGAATTGATAATCATCCTACGATGTGACAGATGATTTTCTCAAGCGAACAATTTGTTCTGGCGGTTATAGAACATTCAAAATACAGCGTTCAGAAACATATACAGACAACAGAGATCCTACTATGTATTTTTTCCAATCTATTATTGTATTAAATATTTTTACACTCTACTCTTATTCACTTTGGACGTATTACATGTTTCTCACTGCCGCGTGCATCCTGTAAATTTTATACTTTACATACTGACACGCCATGCGAGTGCACGTATGCCTTTAACGCGAAATTTTATTCCTATGTTTCTCGTGAAATGATACACAGCCGGTGCCGGTGGAGCTGCAGTGGCTGGGAGGTTGAGCGAAGTGGAAAAGTGGAAAGTTTTACTCATCGAAGCTGGCCCCGATGAACCGGCAGGTGCCGAGATACCCGCCAATCTTCTACTTTACCTAGGTAATTAATTTCATTCGATCGCAACGACAGTTTGCCGCGAAAAAAATGCATTAATACGTAGGGCACCTTCTTTCTATCTTGGACACTGTTTAGATCCCGAGATCCTCCTCAGAGTTCGTGTACAGACCAACTCGTCGACTCTTTCTTTCCTCCCTTTCTTTAAGAATAATAAGAATAATCTTGTTCTTCAAGAATAGGGTTATTCTTGAAAAATTATTAAATCAGACCGATTTGGTAATTTTCACTATGCACGTTACGTATGGTCAAAGGATTTTCATTCGGTGTACACGTACTGCAACATGAAACGTGTATTAAAAAATTAAGGATTCTCACGGATCGAGACATTTGCCAATTTAGAAGCAAGTTACGTGGCTCTGCCTAGAGTAGAATTCTTTTTCTTCCTGAAAGTTGTCGAGACAATGTAACCGCGAGCTCGAAATTACTCGAATCGAAATTCGAATTTATTATCCGCGCGTTACGCTCTTCTTCAAAATCAAAAGTCACTTCACTTCGACATTAGGAAATAATTTGTGACTCCACTAAGACGATCTTTAATCTCTTGTGCTGGAATAACGTGCCACGCACTTAGAACTTTCCAAGAGAACTTTCTGTCTCAAATTGCAGCATTTCCTCGGTTTTAAATATATTTAAACGATAAGTTTATTGCTTCTTAATCATTTCTATCCGGTGATATCGCGCCGACGAGTTCAAAAGAGAAAGAAAGCGACGAATTATTGTATACGGCTTCGGTCACTCGTTATGGTCCGCGCAACCAGTTGCCAGCGCGAGGGGTTAAAGAATTTGCAATAACGTAAACGATAAAGCATACGAGAAGGAATTCTAAGACCTTTGAATAGAAATGATGAGGGAAGTGAACGAATGAACGGTCAAATTAAATCACACGAAAACATGTGACACTCGCAGGCGGTGAACTGGACTGGAACTACGAAACGTCGGACGAGAAGCACGCCTGTCTCTCGCAGGGTGGACGTTGCAAGTGGCCTCGGGGTAAGAATCTCGGAGGTACGACGCTTCACCATGGCATGGCGTATCATCGAGGTCATCCGAAAGATTACGATCGATGGGTGAAACAGGGAGCCGAGGGATGGAGCTGGGACGACGTACGTTTCTCCGTCGATATCACTGCACTTGCCATTGCTTCACGTTCGTCACACGTTGCTTCTTTTTTTTGTTTTTTTCTTTCTTCAGGTGTTACCGTACTACCTCAAATCGGAGAACAACGAGGAAATAGGGAGAGTGAGTGAGAAATATCACGGCAAAAACGGTCCTTTGAACGTGGAACGGTTCGTTGATTCGAAATACCTTTTGCAGTTATAATTATTTATTTATTCGTGCATTTGCTTACTCATAATTCACGCACCTTTTCGTATAATGGAGAAATACAAGATAAAAGACAGAGTCATTTTTCGCCCATTGGCGCGGTCTACGTTGAATCTTTAAATCATTCGTGAAAAAAATCGACATGGCGAATTTTTTCCCATAAATTTGTTTGTTTCGTTTCTTTCTTTTCGTTTTTTGTTTGCGGAACATCAAAACACGTTTCAGCCGAGGAGGGGGAGGGGGAGGGGGGGGGGATAATCCTTCGTCACTTTGTAGACAATTAGTCACAGAAATTGTCGATTTTAAATGACCGACGTGATTTCACGGCGCAGATTTCACAATCTTCTTTTCAGTGATGACGTATGTTGAGATAATTGAGCCTGATTAATTGGCATTGTTGTCGATACAAATCTCGGCGCTCGTAGAAAGACATAAATCACGCAATACTAAAAATGTGTACATACACACTGCCCTGGTACAGGAAATCCAATATCCATCACTTCATAGACAGTGAGCCACAGAAATGTTTGCATCCTGTTGATCGCCGATCTTAAATGATTGATGCGCGACCGTACGATACAAATTTCAAAACTCTTTTCAATGACGAACATTGAGACAATCGAGCTTGTTTCATGAAAAAAAAGGCACGATCGTTTAAGATCGTTCAAATGTTGGCAATTGTAGGAGAGACGTAAATATTTTCGTGAATCACGATACGTGATTTGAAGATCTTCTCTGAAGGAGACTTTTTTGAGGAAAAAAGATTCAAAAAATTACAGAGTCAGATTTGTTAAATAAGCTGCATAAAGGAATGGTCAATGGTATGATCGCCAATTATTAGAATATAATAATTAAAACTATTGAAAATATTGTGAAAATAATTTCGCTACTTGAAATATCATTGAACTGTTCTATTCTCCATTGATAGAATATTATTCAACATCAAATATTTGCATGGTACAAGTTTTCAATCATGTCAACAAATATATACTTATATATAAATATTATAAGAATATTTATATATAAATATAAATGATAGAATACTTATATATAAATATTATAAGAATATTATATACTTATATATAAATATTATAAGAATATTATATGCTTATATATAAATATTATAAGAATATTATATGCTTACATATAAATATTATAAGAATATTATATACAAATATCATAAGAATATTATATACTTATATATAAATATTCTTATATACTCATCACGAATTATTCCATGTTTTATAATTTCGTTTCGTTCAATGCAAACGGCTTAATTATTGTTGTTCGTGTCTCAAACAAGTTATTATTAATCGTAAGACACGCACACTCGATACGACAGTGATCGTTTGACGTCTGAACCTTCGACAGGTTCCCGTATCAGCCTCCCTTCGCTCAGGATATCATGAATGCGGCAGAGGAAGTCGGTTTCGGCACTACCGAAGATTTGGTCGGAGACAAGATCACAGGTTTCGCGGTGGCTCAAACCATCAGCAAGGGCGGCGTAAGGACCACCGCCGTCAGATCGTACATCACGCCGGTCGCGCACCGCAAGAATCTTCACGTAGCCATAAACGCCACCGTAACGAAGGTCAAGATAGTCGGCAAGAAGGCGAGAGGCGTCGAGGTGTTGCTGGTACGACGTCGTGTCGAATTCGAACGTCTGTCAGTTTCGTCCAGGTCTTCAATTTCGTTTGATTTTGTTCGCAGAACGGAAAGAAAGAACGTTCGATACTGGCGAAACGCGAGGTGATTCTGTCAGCGGGAACGATCAACTCGCCGAAGCTGTTGATGTTGTCCGGAATCGGGCCCAAGGAACATCTCAAGTCCATGAAAATTCCCGTGGTGATGGATCTACCGGGTGTCGGTGAAAATCTTCACAACCATCAGTCGTACGGTCTGACCTTCACGGTGAACGAAACGTACTACTCGATGTTCAACAAGAGCAGCGCGGAAGAGTACGTCTACAATCAGACTGGACCGCTCTCTAGCACTGGCCTGGCTCAAGTCACGGGAATTCTGGCGTCGAATTACACGGACGAGACCGATCCGGACATTCAGATATTCTTTGCTGGCTATCAAGCGATATGCGACGGGACAAACGGTGTCGCTGAGGAGAACGGCAAGATGACTGTTCAGATGACGTCGGTCAATGTACGCCCGACGAGCAGAGGTAAACTGGCTGGTTGCCTTCTCACTTTGAGAAATATTCGACTGTGTTCGACTTTTGAAAACGTGTTTCACGAGAACAGTGTTTGCAAGAATGAGTCTTTCATAGATTCTCTCGAGAATTGGCACCAGAGATTTTTGTGAAAAGCACTTTGCCATTTTAGTGTTGTTAAAACAGTGAATGTCGTGAAACTAAAGCAGAAATTATTACAGTGAAATCAGAAATCTCTATTCTCAAAAAATATCGCCAAACGTTGAACCTCAGGCCTCAAGTTTACTGCTAATAAGTAAAGCGAACTGCGGAAACTGTTTTTTGAAAAGCTTTCTCCCAAGTCGAAACAGGCAAAATCTCGTGTTCTTTGTTCTCATTTCTCCGGCTGTTATCGCTCCAATTTCATTTGCAGGTCGAATCAGATTGAACAGCAAGGATCCTCTCGCTCCACCTCATATCTGGGGCAACGATTTGGCAACTGATCACGATCGCAGCGTCGTGATTCAGGGAATCCGCATGGTCCAAAAATTGTCGAATTCTAAGACGATGAAGGAAATAGGTGTGACGTACGTGGACGAGTACGTGGAACAGTGTGCCGGATTCGAACCGGACAGCGACGATTTTTGGAACTGCGTCATACAGTGGAACACGAGACCGGAGAATCATCAGACCGGTAGCAACAGAATGGGTCCGCGTACAGATCCGACGACCGTTGTTAACAATCGACTCCAAGTACACGGTATCAAGGGACTGAGAGTAGCCGATGCATCCGTTCAACCTAACGTACGTTTCTAACATCTCTATTCTAACCTATTAAGGACCAACTTTAACGCAACATTTCGTCTGCCATTTTTTCTTTTTCTTTCAATTAATCCACACGATAAAATTCTATTTTGTAATACCGCGATCGTGGAAAGAAGCGCTGGTTTCTGCAAAATTTCAAGTAACTAAAAAAGTTTATAACATTACAAAAAATTTCTGTCTAGTCGAGATTCTGAAGATCCTCCACTTCTTACTGATAGACTGTAGATCGTTGTCATATGTTTGAAAATTTAATTTAAAGAATAGAATCTCGGTAAAGAATTGTTCTAGGCATCGAGTGCTAAGTATACTTTGGTTATTTCGCAAACTGATCGTGGAAAGAAGCGTTGGTTTTGCAAAATTTCAAGTAACTAAAATGTTTATAACGTTGCAAAAGAATTGTTGCCTCGGTCGAGATTCTGAAGATCCTCCACTACTTACTGATAGACTGTAGATCGTTGTCATATGTTTGAAAATTTAATTTAAAGAATAGAATCTCGGTAAAGAATTGTTCTAGGCATCGAGTGTTAAGTATACTTTGGTTATTTCGCAAACTATGTCAATCTGTGCAATTTGGCATTTTAACGCTTTCGCAGAATACATTTTTAAAGTAAAAATCTTGCGACACACTGCGAATAATTTAAATCTCCCTGTTACGAGATTTACATTTTGGTGATCCGTTGTTAAAATTTTTCTGGAAATGCAGAAAAATTCGTTCATTGATCCTACTACGTCTAAAGCACGCATTAGCACGCTCGAAAAAGAAAATAAGCAAACAGATTAGCCAACTAGTGGAATTTAGAGTTGTTACAGTAATTGGAATTTAGGATTATCGGTTGGGGCAAAGTCAGTTGCGTCAAGACCGTGGTAAAGCAAAATACCTAGCAGCAGTTTCAACTACTGACTGTATATATATTTCGACTTGATATATTTCAGGTGGTTTCGGGCAATCCTGTCGCCTCGGTCAACATGGTCGGCGAAAGAGCTGCAGACTTTATCAAGCAAGACTGGGGAATAATAGAGTCGTAATGGAAACGATGACAATGACAAACGAAAATGTACACTGCAGTGTGACTATTAATATACCGGTATAAATTCCATCTCAGTTGTGTACGTTCTTTTTAATCCCTTTCAATCAGAAATCGAGTTTCCAGCAGAAATAGCACGCTCGACGTGAAAGTTCTATTCGAATCGAGTCGTGTTTTCTAAGTTTCGTGGCTAAGCGAAAACTTGGAGGGAAAATAATGATTATTAAATGCAAGTGACTGAGTTATTTCAGTTCTAAGGAGAGAGTGTTGAAAATTCGCCGATTAACGTCGAACCAAAAAAAGAAAAGGAAACTTTAAACCCCTCGTAATTTCGTGGGAAACATGTGCGACCGAAAGACAAAAAAAAAAGGGGCAAAAGAAAGCCTCGTTACACCTTATTTTTTGGTAATTCGCGAGCGACCGTAAAACAGGCGAAAAAAAACCGCACTTCGCGTTTTTCACCCTTTCGCGTGTGAACGAAATTTTCATCGAACCCACCGAGTTCCGAATTATAGTTTCCAAGTTGAGTGGAACGATTACAGGAGAAAATAATTATTCGAGTTCACTTTTCGAATACATTGCGCGTAGTGTCGCTTTATCGGGTGCTTGAAGTAAAGAGCGCTTAAACGTTTTGAAACGCTTGTAACTTCGTAAAAAAAATTGCACGAAAATCAAGCTGATAAATTTTGAGGAAACTCGAGTGACGATAAATTTTTGACTGACGACATCTTTTCACTTACAATATCGGGGTAATATTAAGCGTATTTCAACGCGGCTTCGTTAAAAATACGTTACGTGCATCATCGACTATGCAAAATCGTTTTTCCCATCACGCACGTGAATTTATTCATTATCGTGTAACGTGCAAACACCAGCTGCTACGTAATGTAATACTTCGGAGATTTTATTTTACAATTGACGTTAATTAATCGAACGATTATCCCGATCGGAAAATTAAGGATTAATTTCTGATCAACAACACCGACCGGTGCTGATGTCACGACAAACGCATCGTCTCGAATGTGTTAACCAAATCGTGCGGAGTCACGCTTCCAACGTTTTTTTGAATGGAAAGAAGACAACGATTACCAAGCAGTTGTACAGTGATACAACGTAGTGTCGTTTCGCTGACCAATTCGAGCCAGTCGTTCGAGAGATCGTTCAAGATTCGCCGACGAAATGACGACGATGACGATGACGCTCTCCTCGTCAAACACTCCCGGCGTTCGCTCAAAGACTTTGAACCCCTCGTGATTTCGCGAGCATCTCAAACTTCTATCCGCCCCGTTCGAAAACGAATATTTACCTTTGCGCTCGCTCGCTGGCTCGCGCGTCTCCACCCGGAAACGGCCGAGTTTCTCGCGAGAAAGGGTCGCGGATCCGTCTGCCAGAGAAACTAATTTCGTTGACTGTTGCCGAAGTACAATAAAGGGCAATAACGCAGTTTAATTAAAATTAATAACGATACCGCTGGATGCATTCGAAATTGAAGAATGGCCGGTGGAAAAGGTCGGGGGGAGTCTGGCGATATTGTCTGGCAGGATTATTAAAGTAAAAACGGCAGAGGAGAAAGGAGGAAAACGGACGAGGGGGGAGGAGGTCGCAACGGCGGAACGGAAGTTGCCTCCCCAAGCCGGGGAAACGATGGAAGGCTAGAAGCATGGAGAAGTGCACTTGACCTCGTTGGAGTCGCGGCCGTACCACACGCCCGTACGTTCCGTGGCTGGCAAGAACGATTTCGCTAACCCCTTATCCTGACCTCCGCTTGGTGCCCCGTTCGCCCCCGTCTAAATCTTTTCGCCATCGGTTACGGAGCCTCGAGCTCCGAGTCGGAGCAACTGCTGGCACCTCGAGTATCACGGTTCTGCCTCCAGCTAAGGAATATCGCTCGAGTTCCACGCGATTCGCCAGGGATCGGCGCACGTCGAGACAGACGGAAAGTCGCGTTAATAGAATGCACGCGTCACCATGTATGATTGTAGATCGTCTACGTTCGTTCTACTAGTGTAAAATGTAATTTTATTTACAGTATAAATAGTTTCTTGATAAATAATAATAATATTTTGTACTATTTATAGTATAGATAGTATTTTATCTGGCTCTGAGCACACAGGAAAGACACAGGTCGAGACAAGTGAAAAATTGTCACGTTTACAGATTGCACGCACTGTTGTAGATCTTCAGTAACGTTGAAACACTTCGTTTATTACGGTTTTAGTGAAATTTTCTAGATTTACAACAGTGCTTCATAATATTTTGTTTAAAAAAAGAATCCATCGTATATTTTTTTTAATAAATATACGCTATATGTATATGTCTGGTAAACCATAGACAATCGACTGGGGAGTGTATATAAAAATGAGTCGAAAGAAATTTTTCCATCTAAGACTCCGTTTTTCGATCGAATTAAATAAATTAAAGGATCTTATTAAAGTTTCTTGTCAAACTGACTGAAGGCATCTCGATAATATTATACATTTTGGTAAGTATTTCTTCAATTACTCTGAGCTTTTCTTGACCGACTGCTTTTTAAAAAAATATTTCCTTTCCAATGGGAGGGAGGGGTGGATTCGTTGTTCTCTGGTATCAGACAAAACATTGTCCCTTGGTGGCGGTAAAAATCATCTCAGCAATCTGTACACTCGTGTTTGTACTGCTCTTTGTCATCTTGATTTCAGTTTTCGGTGTAAATGTATCCACGCTGAGAAAAGAAGTTTGAAAATTGCATTTTGAAGAAGATTATAACTAACGAAGCTTGCTCAGAGAACACCTAAATGATGAAAATCGGATTCGACGCTCAAGAACGATCTCACGAGACTTGTAATATATCTGAAGATTACTGAGTGTTTATATTTATGATGTTTGTCAATTATTTTGTTTATATAATGTATATAAATATAAATAAGTATATAAACATATATAGTATCCGATAGTAGGCCGTTTAACGTTTCTTCAAAGTTTGACGTTAATTCGATTATTCTGTCCTCTTAAGTTTAATTTCTATCACATATATATAAAGATAAAATATATTTCTTTTATTTATCCGAAGATAAATTCGCGATCAGTGGAACATTCTCCGCACGGACGGGCGGTACAAACGATAAAAATTCCAACCTGCGGCCCCGTCGATCGGCTAACGATCGTTTGTACGGTCGTTTCTGCTGCCGCGCGTTAACGCGTCGTCGAGCACTCGAAGACATTCCCCTCTTCTCCCGTCGTTGCGAAGAAGAGATCGTTATTGTTTGGATAAAAATTCGCGTTACTGGCTCCGAGCGAGCCAAAGGAACCGAGGCTTTTGTGGATTATAGCAGCCTGCAGCTTGTTTGCACGGTAAAGACATTGGCCGATCGTCGGACGGTCGTTAAACCGACGCTCTCGAGCTTCCGTCGCGCTCGTGAAAACTAATTAACGTTAGCCGAGAAAAGGAAAGAAGGAGAACGAAGGAAGAGACACGGAACTCCCGACTATATATATGTATATATATTTTTTTTTTCTTCAACTTTCTTGCTGGAAAGAGCTGGATGACACGGTCGAAATTGCAACTGGCTCAAAAGCGCTTGAAACCGGCCACGATTGAAACCTCGGCGTCGGTCGAGATAGCGAGTAGATTAATTTGTTTAAAGTATGCATTCAGGGCAAGCCTGGGAGGGAGAAGAAGTCCTTGGATCGTAGCTGCCTTACGTTCACTCTGAAAATGGCGGCCGAGCTCGGTTTAACGCTCCCGGAATATCGCGTAACCTGCGTACGGGCCGCATTTGCCAAGGCAATTCCAATGTCACCGTGGCTGGTCCCGACGCGGCGTATCGGTGTATCGGTATTTATTGCGAAACGATTCCCGAAGATCGTAATCGGTCGGTACGCGCTCGCTGAAAATACCGCTCATTGTTCCATCTGTATCGACTGCGCGCGTAGTATACGGGCTGTCGTGCAACTGCTGGCACAACCCGAAAACGAGATAATTGTACGTGGGAACATAAGCGGAAACGATTTGTTCATTTGAAGCTTTTTTTTCCTTTTTTTTTCTTTTTTTTTTTTTTTTGGAGGGAGAAAATTGGGATTGACAATTTTTCACGTACGGCGAGTTTTTTCTGTTAAATCCAGACCGTGTTAACTCTGCCGGGATTTTACATTCAGTTTGGCAAATAAAAAAAAAGGGCTTCTGGTGTTTATTAATTGAGAAGATATTTGACGATTAGAACTAGCTACCATTAACATATTTTTTACTGTCACTCGAACTTTTTAAAGTCACTCGAATCTCTAAAAATACATTGTTATAAATGCATGAAATTTCTATGGAAAGTTATAAATTGGCCACTTTGGTGTAAACATAAAGTTTGATCAAAGAATCATGCATATTAATGTAAACTTTTCCGTGCTTCGTTCAAGCCTGAGATACTTTCTAACTTTTGAGAAATGTTAGAGAGATTCTTAAAAAAAAAAAAAAAAATCATGATTTCTTCTCTAACAAATAAATATTCACGTGGCATAAATTACGCGTATGACCGATGACGAATAGACAATTTATCCCATAGAAATATTATTCTTATAACTTTGAAAATGTAATAAAAAATGTAAATCTGTCAATTAACGAAGTGTATGAAATGTTCAAATATTTATACACGGTAGAATAAATATACACTTCCGTTCAATAATTCAGAGCGCCTTATTTCAGAAAAAAATAACGAATTCCAAATATTTTATTCCATTTTATACCATTATTCTTGTATACTATTGGAATTTTAATTATAACCGTAACATTCATATTCCAAGACCTTTGATCCACAACGAAAGTTATAATTATAGTACTCAGTGTTCTTGAGAAGGAACTGGAAGAAGAAGTTGTTTTGTCCGAAGAGAACGAATTTTTGCGGTACTTGTATTTGATGTCCTTTCACAAGGCGCTTTGTTTGAAAACTAAATTTGAAATACACGTGTACTCAGCTAATTCTTAACTAAATATGTTCAAAGTCATCCTTGAAAATGAGGCCCCCGGGTGGAAAAATTTTATCCAACATATTTCCGTACGTAGGATAATCTTCTATGAATTATTCAT